TGCTTACTTTATGTTTGTATCGCATGCATTTATGCCCATATACATCAGGTTTGCTTAACCATTGAATTTTTTTTTTTTAACTTTTGGATTTTTGCCAAGTCTTAGAGTGATTATTTAATGTCTTTCTATAAATTTCATTTTGTGCAGTTATACAAACCTCCATTCTGAAAATCTACATCAGATGGAAGCACATGTCTTTAATGTCTTCAGACAAAAAGCCTTACAGTTAATTTAGTGTTTGCACTCTGGGGTGCAGCCTAACAGGGAGGGCCTAAAAAAAGAATGGAAAGGATTATTAAATATTTTTAGCAACATACTGCCTTTGTCTTTTGCAGAACAAGTAAAAATATGCTTCTTAATTTAGTAAATATTTTTTTAAAATAGAGATGCTTTATTAATTGTAGCTAAAACTTTGTTTTTTTTTTTTTAAGACGAGTCTCAAGTTGTCACCCTGGGTAGAGTCCTGTGGTGTCATAGCTCACAACAACCTCAAACTCTTGGTCTTAAGCAATTCTCTTGGCTCATCCTACCAAGTACCTGGGACTACGGGTGCCTGCCACATTGCCTGGCTATTTTGTTGTTGTTGTTGCAGTTGTCGTTGTTGTTTTAGCTGACCCAAGTCAGGTTCGAACCCACCAGCCTCAGTGTATGTGGCTGGTGCCTACTCACTGAGCTACAGGAGCCACCTAAAACAATATTTAATCATAAAATTTCTGAAATTGTTGTATTTTTTTTTTGAGACGGAGCCGCAAGCTGTCCCCCTGGGTAGAGTGCCGTGGCTTCACAGCTCATAGCAACCTCCAACTCCTGGGTTCAAGCGAGTCTCCTGCCTCAGCCTCCCAAGTAGGTGGGACCACAGGCGCCCGCCATAACACCCGGCTATTTTTTTGGTTGCAACCATCGTTGTTTTTGGCAGGCCCAGGCTAGATTCAAACCCGCCACCTAAGGTATATGTGGCTGGCACTTTAGCCACTTGAGCCACAGGCGCCAAGCCAAATTGTTGTATTTTCCCCCATACTTATTAGAAGTTGTTTACCATCTTATTTTTGTTCCAAGTGTGATTTTTTTTCCTTTCTTTTCCCAACGTGCAATAAAAAGTAGGTTTCTGCTGATGAATTGAGTAGACATCTAGTATTTTATATATGCCTTTTGACCTATGTAACTTAGTGTTTGGATTCTTGATAATTTGTTTTATTGTATCATTGACAAAATGGTTGATGTGTATGTTAGTTCAACCATCTATTTATACATTATCCACTATTTGTCTTTTATTTTACATTACAAGGAGACATTATTTTAATTTTTATTATTTTTCACAGAGCAGTGGGTGGCTTTTTAAAAGATGTTTGTGCTTCTGAACATTTACATGAGGAAATCAGAGTGCATTTACCTCCTTTTATCCTTCCTAGGCACAGACATCTTACGAGAATGTCTTTGAGTAGATATTTATCTTTTTTTTATCTTTTGAAACAGAGTCTTACTCTGTTGCCCTAGGTAGGGTGCCATGGCTTCCTCATAGCTCACAGCAACCACAGACACTTGGGCACAAGTGATCATTCTGCCTCTGACCTCAGGTAGTCTACTGGCCTCAGCTTCCCATGGTGCTAGATAGTAGGTGTGAGCTACCACTTCTGTCCAAGGTTTGTCCTTAGGAACTTTATAAGTGATGTGTCCTAAGCCATCTTCCTGTCTTTTTCTGGCCCTGAGTTTTCACTACTATGTGGGAATGACTTAGAATGACCACAATAGCTATGTCTTTTTCTTTCTTTTTTTTCTTTTTTTTTTTTTTGAGACGGAGCCTCAAGCTATCCCCCTGGGTAGAGTGCCATGGCATCACGCTCACAGCAACCTCCAACTCCTAGGCTCAAGCGAGTCTCCTGCCTCAGCCTCTCAAGTAGCTGGGACTACAGGCGCCCGCCACAACGCCTGGCCATTTTTTGGTTGCAGCCGTCATTGTTGTTTGGCGGGCCCGGGCTGGGGATTCGAACCTGCCACCTTAGGTGTATGTGGCTGGCGCCTTAGCCGCCTTAGCCGCTTGAGCCACAGGCGCCGAGCCCACTATAGCTATGTCTTTTGGAAAGTCTAGTGAATCAGCTTCTGAGTCTTCTCCAAGAGGAGCCCGTGATATGGAACTGGACTATGTCAAGAGAGCATCAGGATCACCTGGGGCTTAGAGGAATCTCCTGGTTTATCTTTCATCTAAAAAGCTAAGTTCTTGAGGGGTTAATATTTTCTTCCTCCAACCCCAGTTCTCATTTATTAGAGACATGCCAATTTTGTGCTTGTATTGAGGGGAAAATACACCAATGATTATTCTTCTTGCCCTCTGGATTTTCTCACACTTGTGAAAGGAGAAAAAACTCCCCAAAGATAACAAAAACAGATACCAGTGAGGGACTGCAAGAAACTGAAAAGCAAAATGCACTTGGGCACTCAGCAAAGCACCTGAGAGAAGGGTCGTCCAATTGTTCGGTGATCAGGAAAGAGATGGGTAGATCTGTCAACTGATAGGATGGCCAGACTTAATTTTGAGTCACACCTGTCTGTGTTTCTTTCAGCACTGCCCCTCCCTGGGTTTGTCAGCTGGAAAAGATTTGTTCATTTAATTTTTTTTTCTTTTTTTTTTTTTGCAGTTTTTTGGCCAGGGCTGGGTTTGACCCCACCACCTCCGGCATATGGGGCTAGCACCCTACTCCTTTGAACCACAGGCACCACCCTCAGCTTAATTTTTTGAATTAAAAAATAAATTTTAGGCTTGGTACCTGTAGCTCAGCAGCTAGGGTGCGAGCCACATACACCGGAGCTGGTAGATTTGAATCCAGCCTGGGTTTGCCAAACAACAACAACTACAACCAAAAAATAGGTGGGTGTTGTGGTGGGTGCCTGTAGTCCCAGCTACTTGGGAGGCTGAGGCAAGAGAATCACTTAAGTCCAAGAGTTGGAGGTTGCTTTGAGCTGTGATGCTATGGCACTCTACCTAGGGCAACAAAGTGAGACTCTGTATGAAAATAAACAAAAGTAAAAATAAATTTTAGCATTAGAGCTTGAAAGAAAATATTTTCATGGGGCATTTAGATCTCAGAAGAAATGTGGTCATATGTTCTTATTTACCATTATTCTTCTTAGAGTATGTATAGTAAGCCTCTTTGTAGGTGACTGAGCACCAGGCTTGTAGAAATGGTCACCAGTTCTTGAGGGGAGCACTGGGAGCAGGACAGTCTTCTAGCCAGCATGGAGATGTTTTGCAGCCTGGAGATAAACCTCAAGCAACTGCATGCATTAATGAGTTAAGATTGGTCACTTGATTGCAAGTGGGTGTTGAACCTTGGACATTTGTGGTACAACAGGGTGGGAGTCGAGCCCGTGGGAAAAGGGCATATAGTGATCATCAAGCACATGATCCTAGTACGTGGGCCCCCCACACCTGTTGTATGCTTTAATAAAAGACCACATCAGAGGTTACTTGGCGCTTCCCTGCACCTATGAGAAGTCTGCCTCTTGGATGCCTGTACTTCTAATCTGTGTCCCGGCTGTTTTATTCACATGGTGACAGGGCACCACAGCACTCATCGACACTTCTTAGCTATGTTCTTTAGTTGGAGGTAATTTTGGAATTGCAGAGCATAGCTTTTGGATTTTCAGCATAACTGCCTAAAAAAGAAAATAAGTTGCAGAAATGACTATGTTTCCCTAAGAAAGTAGGGTAGAAAAACTGGTGAATGGCAAAGAACATGAATACATCCATTCCTCTCTTTTTTGCAGGGTGGAGAATTTTTGAGTGGATATCACTGTTTTGTATCCTGTTGTCTGGATGTTGGAGTTTAATGATAAATACTAGGGAACAGCATTTGGCGACTCCTAAATACATTTACTAAATGATTTGTTATCATGCAAATAATATATAACTAGCCTACTGATCATATAAAAAGGATAGACAACTTTTGCTTTTACTGTTGAGGTATAACATTGTAGTGCCTTACAATTTCTGCAATATTATGATAGATACATGCATTTCATTTCTCCCCCTGATTCCTGGCTCTCAGCTCTTGTGTGAGCTTTGCTATTTTCTAAGTAACTAGAGCAATGAGAACATCCTTCATTAGATTATGCTTGCCTTTTGAGGTCACTTAACCTATAAAGGTGAAAGATAGTCTTTTTGTTATTTACAACAAGCTCTTTAAAACACTTGTGCTTGACTCATTGCCTGTAACTCAAGTGGCTAAGGTTACAGCCACATACACCAGCGCTGGCAGGTTCCAATCCAGCCTGGGCCTACCAAACAACAATGACAACTACAACCAAAAAATAGCTGGGCACTGTGGCAGGTGCCTGTAGTCCCAGCTACTTGAAAGGCTGAGGCAAGAGAATTGCTTAAGCCCAGGAGTTGGAGGTTGCTGTGAGCTGTGACACCATGGCACTCTACCCAGGGGTACAGCTTGAGGCTCTTTCAAAAAATAAAAAACACTTGTGCTTGTGTTGAATGAGAATTTTTGGAAAGCCCCTAGAAACCAGTCTGTGAGAGGCTGGTTGACAAAGGAACCAGCCACATGCCCAGAGAGATAAAATTTTCCATCTCTCCCTAGCCTCTGGGGTGGAGAGAGGTTTTTAGTTAAGTTGATTACAGTGAATTGTCATTTAAGTAATTATATGAATGAAATGAACCTTCCATAAAAACCCAAAAGGGTGGGGTCAGGGAAGCTTTCAGATAGCCAAACAGACGGAGATTTCTAAAAGATGTTGAGCCTGGGAAGGACATGAGCACTCTGTATCCCCATCCCCTTCTCTAGGGAAATAGTGTTTGAATTGAACTGGGTTTGGAGACATTCAGCTGGTGTCTCCTGATTGCTTTCTTATTGATAGGGCACATTCTCCTCACTTTTGGTCACAGAAATTGATAAGTTTGGGTGAAAAACCCAGTAGGTGCTACATGCAGTATCAGAAAATTTCTCTAGGCCAAGATTGGGATCTAAAAGTTTAGACTTTATCTTATATTTTCATAGGAGAAAGGCTCAGAGAGAAGCATGGAGAAAGTGCATGGACATGGTGTGACTTCCCAAAAAATGAAAAAGGAAGAATGCCCATGTTAAGGTCCAGTACACAGCTGAGTTTAAGGTGGGGCAAAGAAGGTAATGGTAGCCAAATTCACAGGGTATTGTAGACGAAAATGCTGTGTCCATTTATCTTCTTGAAGACAGATTATTTTTATTTTTATTTATTTTATTAGCTTAAAGACAGGTACTTTTCTAGGTATTTTTAATTTTAAAGCTTGATGTTCACAGTCCCTTTCTTTTTCATGGACACTCAGGGATCACTTGAGGCTATGGGAACAAATTCTAAAAGACCAAGGAGCTGGAAAATAAAAAGTTTACATTTCCTTTTACAGTCTGCTGGGCCCTCAGTGGTTTGTGGAAACAAAAATCCATAGTGGGGAATTGTTGGATAGAGAAAGAAAGCAGACAGAGAGAGCTCCATGTTAATTCTTTTTGAAAAATTAAGTTAATAATTTTTCTTTTATTTCAGTATAAAGCAGTGTTTCTCAACCTTTTTTTTTTTTAAATCTCATGGCCCACTTGAACCTGTAGTTAAACTTCCATGATCTACTTCAATTATGTTGATCAAATAAAAGTAAAAAAATAGATAAACTTACTGTGCTTGGAACTTCTTTTGAAAATAATTCGGCTCGGCGCCTGTGGCTCAAGTGGCTAAGGCATCAGCCACGTACACCCAAGGTGGTGGGTTCGAATCCAGCCCGGACCTGCCAAACAACAATGACGGCTGCAACCAAAAAATAGCTGGGCGTTGTGGCGGGCACCTGTGGTCCCAGCTATTTGGGAGGCTGAGGCAGGAGACTCGCTTGAGCCTAGGAGTTGGAGGTTGCTGTGAGCTGAGATGCCACAGCACTCTACCCAGGGGGACAGCTTGAGGCTTCTGTCTCAAAAAAGAAAAAAGAAAAGAAAATAATTTAATTCATGATCTTTAAAAATTGAAGGGGCAGAGATGGAGCAAGATGGCAGACCTGAAGGATCTTCAACTGAGCTCTCTTAGAACAATTAAGGAAAAAGAGAACCCAGCTATACCTGGCACAGGGACCATACTCAGAGTTATATAGCTCAGGGAGTTCAGTGAGGAGGTAGTAAAGTGGATATGATCTGGAGCAGTGGAAGTTCTAATAACTTAGGCAAGTGTGGTTGTGACCAGATGGGATTGGTTGGCTGGTCCCCCACAAGGTATGAGAAAGGAGGAAGCCTTTCCAGAGTTTTCAGTTGTTGGGGGAAGCTGTGTGTTGAATTGAAAGCTTGGAAGAGTGGGGAGTCTCCAGCAGTATACAGTAACCAGATTTGAATGCTGGTGGAGTGGATTTGTCATAGGTTTGGAGGCTGAGAACGTCTCTGGGTCTAGGAGTCAGCCATTGTGGGAAGGTCTTAGCAGGGGCCTAAAGCACAGCTGTCTTAATTCCGCCTGTTGGGATCACAACTCCACTCTTGGGCCAGACTGAGGGACTCCTGCACCCTACAAGAACTAGAATCAGAGGTCACTGTGAGACCTGCCTTGGAAGGATTCTTGGAGCTTCAGGACCCCAACCTGGCAGGGTCTGAATGCTGAGCAAGCAATCAGGCAATCACTGAAGGCAACTAAGTTTGGAATAAGGACTATGGAGGCTGCTGGCTGTGCTATCTGTCTCCTAACAACCTCAGTGCCACTTGGTGTCCTGGCATCATACTGCAACATATTGTCATCAAGAACAGGGACTTCTGTTTATTTGGCTTTGCTCAGGCTGAGGTAACTTTAAGACCTGTGAAGCAAAGGTAATTTGAAGCAGAGGAGGCAGTGAGAAGGAAAAAGGAGGACAAATTGGTGAACAAGAAGAAAGAACACGTGAGGAGGAACCAACAGAAAAATTTTGGCAGCATGAAAAGCCAAAACAGAGACCATAAGGCAGCTACTGCAGAAGACTCCACCTTTAAAGAATTAATGGACTTGACAGAAAGGGAATTTAAAATATGGATGATAAAGACAGTAAAAGGACTGGATGAGAAAATGGAAAGACAGAACCAAAAGTCAGATGAGAGATGTGTAGAATATAGAAAGGACATGACGGAGCTTCAGGAAATGAAGGAGACAATCAGGGAGTGTAAAGATGCAATAGAAAGTATCAAAAATAGGTTAGACCATTGAGAAGAAAGAACCTCAGAGCTAGAGGATAAAGTTTTCGAATTAGCCCAGGTAGTTAAAGAGGCAGAAGAGAAGAGAGAAAAAGCAGAACAGGCACTTAAGAGAACTGCAAGACTCCATGAAGTATTCAAACGTACGAGTAATAGGAATTTCTGAAGGGAAAGAAGATTGTCCCAAAGGAAGCCCTACTGGAGACTAACCATAAATGAAAACTTCCCAAATTTTACTAAAGGCCCCAATATACTCCTTTCAGATGGATAGTGTACCCTAGGTCATCTCAAGTCAAATAGAGCTTCTCCATGTCACATTATAATGAATCTGTGCAATGTCAAGATAAAAATAAAAGTTCTGCAAGCTTCTAGGAGTAGGTGCTAACTGACCTACAGAGGCAAATCCATCAGGATGACAGCAGACTTTTCAACTGAAGCCATCTGGGCTAGAAGAGCATGGCCATCCACCTTGAACAGTCTTAAACCAACTTTCAGTCCAGAATTATGTATCCTGCTAACTAAGCTTCAGAATTCACGGAGAAATAAAATATTTTGCAGATATACTGCACTGAGGAAATTCCCCACAATAAGATAGACCAGCTCTACAGGAAACATGGAGAAATGAAATCTTTTGCAGATATACTGCATTGAGGAAATTCCCCACAATAAGACAGACCAGCTCTACAGGAAATATGTAGACCTGTTCTCAACACTGACCATCACAGTGGACCACCAGCAAGGTAAACACCCAGAAGCTAAAGGTCAAAACCTAGCTTCCACAACGGCACAAAGGATAAGACTACACAATGAACTTTCACAAAATAAAATGAATAGAACTTTATTACACTTATCAATTCTCTCAATAAATGTCAATGGCCTGAATTCACCTGTGAAGAAGCACAGGCTGGCTGATTGGATAAAAAAGCACAAGCTATCCATATGCTGTCTTCAGGAGACACATCTAGCCTTGAAGGACAAATCAAGACTCATTGTTAAGGGATGGACAACAGTACAGTATTTCAAGCAAAGGGACATCAGAAGGAGGGATTGTGATCTTATTTTCAGATACAAGTGGACTTAAAGCAACTAAAGTTAAGAAAGACTAATATGGACACTTCATGCTGGCCAAAGGAACAATTCAACAAGAAGACATTTCAATTCTAAATATTTATGCACCTAACTTAAATGCTCCTAGATTTATGAAACAGGCCTTGATGGGTCTGAGTAATGCTATATCCCATAACACCATAATAGTTGGGTACTTCAACACCCCTCTGACAGAACTGGACAGATCCTCTATACAGAAACTAAACAATGATACAAATAACTTAAATGTGACTCTAGAACAAATGAGATTAATAGGTATATACAGAACATACCATCCCAAAGCTAAAGAATATACTTTTTTCTCATCAGCCCATGGTATGTACTCTAAAATCAACCACATCCTAGGACACAGATCAAACCTTATCAAAATTAAAAGAAAAGAAATTACACCTTGTATCTTCTTAGACAAGAAGGTAATAAAGGTGGAACCCAACTCCAACAAAAATGTTCATCCCTACACAAAGACTTCGAAATTGAACAACCTTATGCTGAATGATAGTTGGGTTCAGGAAGAGATTAAAAAAACGAAATCGTTAAATTCCTCAGACATAACAACAATG